GTGTAGGCTCGGCACCCAGGTACGACGGTCCATAATGTGACAAGCTTGGCTGGAGATGAAGCGTTGAATGATATTCAGACACTGGAGTCAGCGCATATATTCGGGGGTCGGAGACGCCCTCACCCAGCGTGTCCGGAAAACGGTGGCGGCCCTGCTGATGCCTGCCCGGATACGGCGGTGCGGTGGTGCGCTTCCAGCCTTTCAGTTGAGCGGGATCCGGGCTACGGCTGGCGCCTCGTCCCAGCGGACGGCCAGCTGCTCCCGGACACCGTGGAGGGTGAAGGAGGTGCCTCCGGGGAAGTCCGTTTCAGCCCCCGGGGCCGACGAGGCCGGCCGCCACAGTGCGGTGCGCCGCGTGCAGCCAGGCCGCGTGTCCTGTTCAGTGGTGGTCTGGTGGGAGTGGGCCGGGAGTCTCACGTGCTGCCAGCCCACGCGGCGTCTGCACGTGGCTTCGTCCAGTCGGAGGAGGCCCCGACGGCACCCCACGACTGACGTCCGTAAGGGTTGGGTCGTGGCGGGGGTGGTGGCGGCGGTGGCGGCGGTGGTGGCTGCGGCGGCGGCGGCGGCGGCGGCGGCGGCGGCGGCGGCGGCGGCGGTGGCGGCTGCGGCTGCGGCTGCGGCTGCGGCTGCGGCTGCGGCTGCGGCTGCGGCTGCGGCTGCGACTGCGGCCGCGGCTGCGGCTGCGGCTGCGGCTGCGGCTGCGGCTGCGGCTGCGCCGGCGGCGGCAGCGGCGGCGGCTGCGGCGGCGGCGGCGGCGGCGGCGGCGGCGGCGGCGGCGGGGGGTTCAGTGGTGTGCGTGCCGCCGAGTGAGGAAAAGGTGCCGGCGCCGCGGCCGCGGTCGGTACCGCTCCTGGTGGGCCGCATGTGCTCGGGCCGCGGCCGCTCGTCCTACCCCGGATATTGCTCGATGAGTGCAGGCCCGCGCGCGTGCGGCCGGATCTGGAGAGGGCTGGTTAGGGACGGTCGAAACGGCTCGGTGTGATGTGGCGTGCGGCGAGTCGGCGGGCTACTCCAGATAAGATGCTAGTGGAGAGTTACCCGAGTCTTCTTGTTCCGTTGCCGAGTAGCGGGCTGTAATTACTCCTCTGACCATGGCCGTGCCTCACCTGCGCCGCGAGCGACCACTGTCTGTGAGCGCGGCAGACGTGGAAAACCCGGAATGTTACCGCGATGGTGTCAAGTCGTACCAGTATGCTGAACAAGGCGGACGTAACGGCAAATCGATGATCGGTCACGACGCGTGGCCGGTGCGCTCTCTGGGTGGCACATGAATGAGCTGTGCTGCGCACGAAGCATAGCTATTCAGTCCAACCCAGTGAAAGCGCACGAGAACGTCAAGACACGTGCTATAAAATCCTTGCACTGGTGCTTGTGGGCAACTGATCCACAGTGCCGTCGTGCTGCGTAATCGATGTCCAGATCGCCTGAGCGGGTTCACAGCTGGCGTGATCCGGAGCCCGATATCACAACTCCGGCCGGGCGAGTGAGGAGCGCCTGGCCCACCCAGAGCACCTCCGCTCGCCGCGCCGCGCCGCGCCGCCCCAGCCCGGCCCGGCTCGGCTCGGCTGGCGGCGGGGCCCCAGGACCGTGGTGGGCCGCCGCCGCTGACGCTGACGCTGCCACTCCCGTCTGCCCGCAGGGTATGGCGTGACCACCGACGGCAAGGTCGTGTACATCAACGCCTCTACTTGCGACATGAGCTACATGCCGCTGAACCCGCCGATCGTGTTCGACGTGCCCATCCCGGATGACTTCACGAAACACTGACCGGCGGCCGAGCCGCTGCTCCGTGTGACGGCCCGAGGCGACGGCCCCTCTTTGTGGCGGACGGAGGTGACAGCCCCTGCTCTGTGTGACGGCCGGAGGCGACGGCCCCTCTTTGTGGCGGACGGAGGTGACGTCCTCTCTGTGTGACGGACGGAGGTGACGTCCTCTCTGTGTGACGGACGGAGGTGACAGCCCCTGCTCTGTGTGACGGACGGAGGTGACGGCCCCTCTGTGTGACGGACGGAGCTGACGGCCGCTCTGTGTGACGGGTGGAGGTGACGGCCTCTCTGTGTGACGGACGGAGGTGACAGCCCCCCTCTGTGTGACGGACGGAGCTGACGGCCGCTCTGTGTGACGGGTGGAGGTGACAACCCTCTGTGTGACGGCCGGAGTGTGACGGACGGAGGTGACGGCCCCTCTGTGTGACGGACGGAGCTGACGGCCGCTCTGTGTGACGGGTGGAGGTGACGGCCTCTCTGTGTGACGGACGGAGGTGACAGCCCCTGCTCTGTGTGACGGACGAAGGTGACGGCCCTTCTGTGGCCGGCGGCTGAGCCGCTGCTCCGTGTGACGGACGGAGGTGACGGCCCCGGTGCCGTCCCCTGCTCCGTGTGACAGACGGAAGTGACTGGCCCTCCGTGTACTGACGGAGGTGACGGTTCCGGCGCCGTCCCCTGCTCTGTGTGGCGGACAGAGGTGACGGCCCCAGTGCCATCCCTTGCTCTGTGTGGCGGACGGAGGTGACGGCCCCGGTGCCGTCCCCTGCTCCGTGTGACGGACGGAGGTGACGGGCCCGGTGCCGTCCCCTGCTCCGTGTGACTGACGGAGGTGACGGGCCCGGTGCCGTCCCCTGCTCTGCCTGACGGACAGAGGTGACTGGCCCTCTGTGTGACGGACGGAGGAAACGGGCCCGGTATTGCCCTCCATGTGGGCGGGAGACACGCTGACCAGGACCTCGGCGACAGAGGATCACCGAGTGGATCACTTGCACTCGGGTACATAGACGCTAGCTAGCAATGATCTGAGGGGTAGGGGCAATACGCAGCCCTGCGCGGCTCCGTTCAGCGGGCGAGTGTAGA